CTGGATTTCCCCGGAGCTCCGCCCACTTTAGAAATAGTGCTAGCATTGTGGCAGTGGTATTATCCTGAGTGTGGGAAGGGGCACTGCATGCAGTTTGGTGTATAAACAGACATCTCGTCCCATTTACAAAACCACGAAGTGGAATTTTCCCATTACGGTACCTGATACGACAACGTCAACGACCCCTTGAGCATTAGTCTGTGATACGGTGTGGATGATCGTTTTGAATGTAAAAATAAATGTACAGCAGTTTAATAGAGCAAAATCTACTTGAAGACTAACATCACAGCCAGATTTTTAGTGTACCGCTTCATTCGCTGGGCGGCGCCACCATTCAATTGCATTAGTCATTACACCATTTTGGCGTTTCGTCCAGTCTGTGTATCCGTTAGTCTGTGGTATTACTCTACCCGTTAATGGCATAATCTATGTTGTGTCCCTCCTCATTATTAATCTATGTGTTTATTGTTCTCGGGTTAGTAACATACCGTGTCAAGCTTGTCAACTTCGACACCTAATCGACGTAAACTTCAGTTCGTTCAACCAGGTTCAACAACAGCTGATTTCTGTCTAAGATTTCTGTCTGCGCGCCCATGTGGTGGCGCCATCTATGGGTAGCGGCGCCGCTCGGCCACATGTGAATGCTCCCTTGGTTTGTGACAAATGTGCAAAGTTGTTAGGCGATTTTGTTTAGGAAAATCATAAAATCCGTTTTGTCGAAGAGCTGCCCTTTGGTTCGTTTACTTCTTTATCTAATAACTTCGAACGAGTACATACGTGATGAATTTTGCAGCAACGAAATTTCTGCACGCGTGAGGTTTGAACTGTTGTGCGTACTTTGTAATTGTATGTAATAGTACTAATAGTATTAGTAATAGTAGTAGTAGTAGTAGTATTAGTAATAGTACTAATAGTATTAGTAATAGTAATACTAATACAGTAATAGTAATACTAATAATGTACACTGTTGTATGTACTAATCTACTAGTAGTACTATAGCTCCAAGAAACGGTATTGCTAGGGTTAGAATACCCTAGTCAATACCCTGGTGTATTGACGTTAGTCACAGCCTGGTCGGGTTACTAGTACTATAGCTCTAGTACTATAGCCCGCGGATCGCTGCCGCAGGGCTATAGCACATTCTGCCATAGATGTAATCTAAGCAAAATGGTCGCAACTGATGTGACCAAAATTTATCCCCAAAAACGTAAAATATCGGCTTTTTAACACTTATCTATCAACATGGACATTCTCACTCATCTTTTTTGAACACTTCCACAACTTTACAGCACAGGTATTTATGCTGTTATTCCTCAAAGTCTTGAGCACTACTGGTGTTTTGTTTTCAAATGCGGTTGCTCTGCTCTAGTACATGTTGTGCACGCGTGACTCTTCAGTGCTTAAGACTTTGAGGAATAATCAAGCATTAAATCACCTGGTGTAAGTTGTCGTGAAGTGTTCAAAAAAGATAGGTGAGATGTCCATTGTTGATAGATAAGTGTTAAAAAGCCCGATCATTTTACGTTTTGGGGATAAATATTTGGTCACATCAGTGGGATCATTTGCTTAGATTACATCTATGGCAAAATGTGCTATAGCCCTGCGGCAGCGATCCGCGGGCTATAGTACTAGAGCTACTAGTACTACTACTAGTACTAGTACTATGTTGACGTTGGCCATGATGCTTTGATGGCATGAGATGATGAGTCACAGGGCACACAGCCGCAGGCACGTGGAACGTTTCAGTAGTAAAATGATGGTAAATAAACACGAAATGTATTTATTACTAAAGTCTTAATGATTCTTTACTCCTTTTCGCCTATTAATAGTATTATTGCCGATAACTTCCTGTAAATGCTGTTCATATGCTCCTCTGTTAGTGTTAGTGTTACACATGACTCACGAGTACACTGCACGCTAGCTCTAGAACTATAGCCCTCCGCTCCGCCGCAGGGCTATAGAACATCCTATGGCAATTTCCAAGTAGTAAGCAAAGACAACTTTTTGCGGTTAATAACTTCTTCGGTACGTACGCCAAATAAAGCACATTCTCTGCCGCACAAATGTCTTAAGTTACTATAAACACAAATTAAACCGCAAACTAACGGTTAAATGTTGTACTTGCTGTATTACTCGTCGACGAAGATTATTTACCAACTTGTAAACGCCATTTTTCGCTAGTGGGCAGGCACAATGTATTTCGAAGTGGAGGAGTGGGCAGGTTGCATGCGGTTGCAAACCGCGCTAGCGCTGCGCAACAAAAAATGGTGGTTTGCTACCGCGTGCAACCTGCCCACCCCTCCACTTGGAAATGCATTGTGCCCGCTCACTTGCGAAAAATGGCGGTTACAAGTTGGTAAACAATCTTCGTTGACGAGTAATATAGCAAGTACAACATTTAAGTGTTAGTTTGTGGTTTAATTTTAGTGTTTGTAGTAACTTAAGACATTTGTGCGGCAGAGAATGTGCTTTATTTGGCGTACCGAAAAAGTTATTATACCCAAAAAGTTGTCTTTGCTTACTACTTGGAAATTGCCATAGTATGTTCTCTAGCCCTGCGGCGGAGCAGGGGCTATAGTTCTAGAGCTAACCGCATGCATGCCGCTGTGCACAAACAGCAAAAATAAATCTCTTTATTCTTGTTGTTTATGCACAGTGACGTGCGTACGGTGTACTTGTGTGTTGCAGAGAAGCATTTGAACGGCATTTACAGGAAATTTTTGGCAATAATAGGCGAAAGAGAGTAGAAAAACATTTGGACTTGTAGTAAATACATTTTGTATTTATTTACCATATATTTTTTTATTGAAACGTTCCAAGTGCTTGTGGCATGAATGATATTGCCATTGGCATTGATATCAGAGTAAAAAATACAGAGTGGCTATATGCCCGGCAGCCTGCATATATCTGACGGCTGCCGGGCACGGTCTTCGATTTTATAAATGCCTGGCAGTTTTTAATTTTTAGAGTTATCTCAAGTAAACAAGGGTTAGGGTTAGGAACTGCCGGGCATTTAGTTAATCGAAGACCGTGCGCGGCTGCCGGGCATATAGCCACAGCGTAAAAAATACACGGGAGCGATGAGCGATTCGCTTTTCAAACCTCCGAAATCGCTCCCGTGAGGCTCAAACTAGCTCCCGTAAAATTGTTGCCGAGAGCTATTTTTCCCACAGACTTGAAAACGAGCTCTTGTGGAAAAAAAAAATTCCCCTGATTGTTATGTGGTCTTGACTCTAAGTCTTATAAAAGTTATAAGCTTGGCACGTAAAGAGCAGATACGAAGAGGGGCGGCCTATCGTTAAGTTGAGCAAGAAGAATTTTTATAACCATGAAATTCAATTGAAGTATAACGTAAAATACTATATATAGCTCTAGTCACAGTGTAAATAGGCTAGCGTTTGCTGCACGATGCACAACTGCCAAGACTATAGTCTATACTATAGACAGTATAGTCTATAACTTGCAACAGGAACTATACTTTATGGTATAAACTAAAGTAATGCTAATGAAGTAGGTCCCCTTGTAATGATGTTTAAGGAAAATATATAGCATAAGAGCGTAAATTGAACAACTGACGTGCACATATTACAGGAATCAGGAGCGGTCTGAGGCAAATGAGCGATGCATTGTTGGTACTTTGATAAGAAAGAGCTGCTCAACACTCCATCTGCCAAAGATGGCATTGATGCGGACACTGAGAGCCGGTACAAGCGCGAGGGCGCTAGGTACATCATCAGCTGTGGCACAACGCTCGGCCTGTATCCTTTAAAGATGCTATAATTTTTTTAATATTTTTAGCTCATCTGACATAGTCAGATGCAGCTTGTAGAATCGCATGATCGTCCGTCCGTCCGTCCGTCCGGTCGTCCGTCCGGTCGTCCGTCCGTCCGTCAACAGTTGGGCACAAATCTTAACCGCTCGACGTACGGTCACGATATTCGGGTCGTTGGGGGGGATCTCAAAACGAGTTGGGATGTCGAAGCTGGGGGTCAAAGGTCAAAGGTCAAGAGGTGTAAAAGAAGGGGGAACATTCACTCCTTAACTTAAGGTATAGGGAGGAAATGCAGAATTGCGGCACAAATCTAAACGGCTCGACCTAGGCTCGTGATAGTCGGTGTATAGCATCATGGTAGGAAAAGCCATCACTGTGCCGAAATTGGAGGTCACAGGTCAAAGGTCAATGGGCACAGGGCAGATTTTAGACATTTTCTGAGGACATGGTCTGACGGAGCGATTGAAAAACTTTTTTGTTTCAGCGGTGACCTAGCATTTTTATGGCTTTATTGAAAGGACCATGAAATGTCCCTTCTGCTGACATGCGAAGAGTAAGTGTCGGATAACCTTTTGACCCTCAAGAGGAGGGTTAAACATGGATTTGTTGACTGTTAACAAAGGAGTGAACTGCTTTTGCTATTAGAGCCCCCTCCCCCCACCCTCCCCCCACCCCTTCCCCCACCCTCCCCCTACCCTCCATCTGCGATAGTGGGCGTGTCCTAACAATGATGTGTACGCAACTGCGTGTCTGCATATCTGCGCCTAACAAATGTGGTACTACGCACGACTGAAATTTTACGTTTATAATCGTAGCAACAGACCTCAGATGAGCCCAGACGCTCTGCGGCTCTTGTTTTTACATGTTATAATAACTTTATAGTCAAACTTCTATGTGAGGGTCATTCAAGTGAATCCCTAAAAGTGTCCTTTATAGGCAGGCGTCCATTTTATAGGCGTAGTGCCACCGTCTATCTACCATTCATGTGAATGCCAGTGTCCTTTATGTTTCTTTCTGTTTTAGAGAGGTGTCTGCTAATGTGTCTGTGCTAAGATGTGTCAATAATACATTTTATTAAACTGTTTAGAGTATTGGATAATGAATGTTTTATTAAATAATATATCCTATTTAAGTTTATTCTTTAATTCTGTTGGTTGTTTATATGTTCTTGAATCATTTTCCTTAATGCTTGATTAAGCCGATACGATACCATGGCCACAGGTGTTGTCTACTTCCATAGGTTTTATATGTTCCACTCGTTTAAAGATTTTCCACGATATGTAAGTATGCATAAATGATCTCACACATATGTACATTAACACTAAATTAATCTGTAGGCAGTATGGTGGTAGCTAATGTTGTTATACTTCATACCTGATTGTATATCATATTACAGGTATTTATAAAATCATATCTAAACGAACTAGAAAAATTTCTGCCAAGTATCAGCAAGCATTTTTTGGACTAAAAAGTGTAAAGATGAAATAATTGATAAGAAGAAAGTTACGAAAAGTCATTGCGTTTAATAATATTTCATTTTTTAGGTGACTGCAGCATGCTGCCTGTTCCTGTCTGGGAAGGTTGAAGAGACGCCCAAGAAGTGCAAAGACATCATAAAAACAGCTCGAGCTCTGCTAACCGATGTCCAGTTTGCACAGTTTGGTGATGATCCAAAAGTGAGCTCATTTACTCTTCATCAGATGCTCTTAACAGTTACGAGATGTCAGAGCCATCATCAGATTTTGAGGCTCCTCGCCAAAATGCATGTGAATGTCAGGGGATGTATTACTGAATTTTGCAGCTAAATGCACTCTTAAAACTGCTACCTCCTCACCGATGACGATGTTGCTGTGTCGTAGTGTCATCTTACGACTTTCTCTTGCCATATACAGGAAGAGGTGATGACACTGGAGAGAATTCTACTGCAGACGATTAAGTTTGACCTGCAGGCAGACCACCCTTACGCATATCTGCTGAGATATGCCAAAGGTTTTAAAAGTAAGCGAGCATAGGGGTTATATTTGCATGTCAGGTTACGATTGTAACATTGAGGATGAAAATAGGTGACCATTCGAACAGTAACGTTATCATAACATACAGGTCACGCAACTGGCATAAAGTTATGTTACTGTTTCTGGTGTACTGTGTAAAGAAAGGATATGTATTGATTTTATTACCTTTCGAAATTGTATTTAAGACTATCAATTGAGTTGCGTTCCAAACCTGCCACCGTCTACGGTTTTTATACCCTCCGCCAACGAAGTTGGGGGGGGGAGATACTGGAATCACCCTGTCTGTCTGTCTGTCTGTCCGACACCAGCCTTGTGTGCAGGTCTCCTCGAAAAGTATGGGACAGATTTCAACCATATTCGGTACAGATCATCAGTGCCCAAGGTAGTTGTCGACATGCGATGGATTTTTTGCGTCCGACATTTTCGGGAAGATTTATGGCCGTTTTCCGTAAATAAACCCATTTGGTTATATATGACATACTGACACCATCTAGTGGATTATTTCATACATAACTGCCCAGCACATGCTGTTTGCCAAACGATCGCCCCCCTTCAGATAAGTGCACATATAAATATCGGCCCCACATGTGGTTATAATCCACTATTATCTACACTATGGAGATGTACTTTTTTTTACGTTAGCTACACTCGCCATGGGTGCCCATATTAATCAGCTAGATTAGGCCCTGCTGATATTTAAAAAACCACTAGTTTCTAATCGAATTTGTTCTTTCTAACTCATGATCGCACTTACAGTTGTAGACAAAGCGAAGCTTCAGAAGATGGTGCAGATGGGGTGGACCTTTGTCAACGACAGTCTGTGTACATCGTTGTGTCTTCACTGGGAACCAGAGATCATAGCCATCGCACTGATGTATCTAGCCTCGCGTCTCTGCAAGCTAGAGATCACAGACTGGGTGGGAAAAACAAGCAAGCAGGTGAAGTGGTGGGACCAGTACGTGGAAAATTTATCCATGGAACTGCTAGAAGGTATATTAGATGTAGCCGAGGTAATTAGGTGTAGATGGTACATCACAAGAGCTTCTGAGCAGATGAATTCATGGCATAACATTACCTCTTGACATTATTTAGATATTCTACATATCATTTTTCTTAGAAGCATGTTCGTTTAGCTGTCAGCCAGACGAAAACAAGTAATACGAATAACTATGACATGTTGCAACACGTAGTTCTGAGGAAGGCAATCACAGCGCCCACTATTGCCATCGATTGTCACGTTACTTCCAGATATCTGCCACGAAGTATTAGATCTCTACTCTGCGTCAAAGAACGAAGACCCGGCCCAGTCTCCTCCGAGAACACCTCCGGCTCTGAAGAGAAGACCCGTAAGACACTTATCTGTGATCCTTGCCTGTACTGCATTAAATTTTGCCATTCTCTTCTTGCGTATTGTTAATTTAATGCTGGCGTGTTGCGATGCGATTACCAGTCTGTGTAGTTAACACAATATGCTACTTAAATTAGCACGACGAATAAAGTTCAGACGTTTGAAAATATATCTTTTCGATTCTACCAATATATGTGCATCTTAGATTAGACTATTATGGATATTAGCAAGAGCGTATTAAGAAGGAGAGCGTACAACGGTGAAATGCTGAAACCATGTTGCAGTATTAGTCGAATTAATAAACTTTGCCCATTTTATTTTGACGATTCTTTGCAGTATTATTGATCAGCTGTCCTACCTTGTTTATATAAAACAAACCGCATGTCCCTACGATGCCCCTACGCTGAGTTAATGAGCGGTGAAAATCTGGTATTTTCGCTGAAAACCGACTTGAGATGCTGACTGCGACTGTCTCTCGCTTTGAGATAACTTCGGGAAACCTCGCGTGTTTCCGTCAATGATTGACAAATGGAATGAATGACACCTGTTATTGATTGCCATAGTGATGACCCCCACCTGTGCCCACCTCATGCTGGATGTAGTAAACTTTGTAGTACTGACGTAATGAGTCGGCGCTACCATGGCGCTACACAGCAGTGACCGGAAGCAACACACTGGCCACAAAGCGAGATAGGGTCGCCGCAAACAGGGATCTCGAGTCGGTTTTCAACAAAAATACCTGATTTTCACCGCTCATTATCTCAGCGTAGGGGCATCGTAGGGACAAGCGGTTTGTTTTATATTAGCAAGGTAGGACAGCTGATCAATAATACTGCAAAGAATCGTCAAAATAAAACTGGCAAAGTTTCTTAATTCGACTAATACTGCAACATGGTTTCAGCATTTCACCATTGTACGCTCTCCTTCTTTATACGCTCTTGATATTAGGAGTAAATAATCTCAAATGTGTACATGTGTTTACTTGACATTAATTTTTAGCTTATCTGACATAGTCAGATGCAGCTTGTAGAATCGCATGAGCGTGCGTCCGGCCGTGCGTACGTTCGTGCGTCCGGCCGTGCGTACATCCGTCAACAGTTGGGCACAAATCTAAACGGCTCGACGTACGGTCACGATAATCGGTACGTGGGGGGGTAATCCGAAAACGAGTTGGGATGTTGAAGTTGGGGGTCAAAGGTCAAAGGTCAAGAGGTGTAAAAGAAGGGGGAACATTCCCTCCTTAACTTAATGTATAGGGAGGAAATGCAGAATTGCGGCACAAATCTAAACGGCTCGACCTAGGTTCGTGATAGTCGGTGTATAGCATCATGGTAGGAAAAGCCATCACTGTGCCGAAATTTGATGTCACAGGTCAAAGGTCAATGGGGCACAGGGCAGATTTTAGACATTTTCTGAGGACATGGTCTGCCGGAGCGATTGAAAAACCTTTTTATTTCAGTGGTGACCTACCATTTTTATGGCTTTATTGAAAGGACCATGAAATGTACTTTCCGCTGACATGCGAAGAGTAAGTGTCGCATAACCTTTTGACCCTCAAGAGGAGGGTTAAACATGGATTTGTTGACTGTTAACAAAGGACTGAACTGCTTTTGCTATTGTGGATGTGAGGCTACAGTTGCACAGTTCAATTGCAAAGGCAAATGTTTGTTGAACAAGGTTTACGCTCCTTAAATCATATTATTTTATAAAGCAGTCTGTATTAGCACCCTGAGTAGCACACTGTAATGAACCCTGAATGCTCGCGTGGGTAGGCAAAAACATGGTGACAGCCCATTACGCACTTATGGAGTGAGGTTATCACGCACGAAGGGTGATGCCATCTTTGATTATTGATGACACTTGCACGCGCCATCTCGCGGCAACTGCTTTTGCTATTAGAGCCCCCTCCCCCCCATTCTCCCCCCACCACCACCTCTACGCTCGCGCTCGACGCATATCCATGATAACATGTTAATATAGCGAAGTCATTAAAGTTAACAGCTGTATCTTTATTACTGTACTACCGGTATAGCAAAGCCTAGCTATCATAGATTTTAGATCTGTATTAGTAGTATCCTAGATATATGCTCTGAGCGCGAACGCGGTGATGGGAGGGTGCTCTTCATTCGTTTGCCAGTGAGTTTAGCATCAGAACACCTGCCGTCAGGTGAGCGCTGTCGCTCTGCGGCACTTGTTTAGTACTTTTTCTACCAGTAGATATCACCACCATATGCCACCGTTGGCCACTTTCAGGGTTAAAAATCGAAGTTGCATCCTGTGAGTACCTCGTGCCTCCAGCTGTTGCCATACCATCAGAACCATCACACATCTATGCTGCAGAAATGTGCACTCATCACAGCATTATTATCACCTATTTCAGAGCACACCGCCACCGCAGCTAACACCCGGAAAGATTATTAAGCAGGACCAGCAACAGCAGCAGCAGCAACACATGCCACAAGAATCAAGGCAAAGCACTGCAGGTGTGTGTAGGTAGGCAGTGGTGTCATATCACACATCTGTCTTCTCTTTTTTATCTATTGTCTTTACTAATTTCCTCTACACGTGAGGCTTGGACTATATACTTTGTTAGAATGTGTAAATATAAATCAATATAGGCACGCATGCACGCACACGAATACGCACACACACAGGCATGATTGTGATGATATATACATGTGTTATACAGTGAAACCATCTCCATAGAATAGACACCTGTCCGTAAAGAACACATGTTGTTGCAGTGTTAGAAACAAGTCTGTCAAACAAACCCATCCAGTCCTGATTTTGGAAATCTTTTTTTACTACCATAACCTATAGTAAATCCTATTAAAACTAGACAGAGGTCACTCACGGAGAGTGCATACCTCCGCGAGCATGTAACATGTATGTGCTCGCTGGTGGCGGCTGCAGACTGACTCGCTTGCTGCTGACTCGCCGCTCACTGGTGGCGGCTGCTGACTCGCCACTCGCTGACTCGACGCGCTATCGATTCGCCGCTCACTGGTGGCTGCTGCTGACTCGCCACTCGCTGACTCGACGCGCTATCGATCGCGCGGTGGCTACACACACACACGCGAGCGATTGCATGACCTCCGTTTGCGCGGAGGTAATTAACCAGTCCTGCTCAAAGGTCACCCACCCGGATAGGTGGACAAGCTGCTATCTCCAACACCGATTCGATGAATGTGTCTCTTCGGTGACTCCTGTATAGATATTTGACCGTCACTACTTTAGTCGTTCCTCAACTCGTGTTCGCTTACTCTTGCAGGAGTCCCACCGGAGGGCGCCGCCGTCGCTGCCAGCAAGGCGTTGCAGAAAGTCAGGGCTATCCCGACTCACATGTCGACATCCTGCCCCGCGACAGCGCGGCAGCCGATCGCCCCGCTGACCCCCAGTGGCTACTCGAAGACCGACGGCAAGTCGGCGGCCGAGTCGTACAACCAGTTCCAGATCTCTCAGTCGAGCATGTCGTCGTACATGTTTGGCAACGCGAGCTACAGCGCGCAGGGCTCCGAGAACATCCAGTCGGTGCTCGCCGGTGCCGCCGCCGCCAACGGCCAGCCCCCGCCGTCATCCGCGTCGCAGTACACAGCGCCCCCGGGGCCCCCGCCGTCTACCGTCTCCTTCGGCTACGGCACGTACTCGCAGCAGGGCTACGCGGCACCGTCCTACCCGCCGCCGCCCGCCGCCGCGCCCCCGCCGGGCCAGTACTACGACTACTCGCAGTACCAGTACCAGCCGCCACCCTCGGGGCCGCCGCCGCCTGCGCAGTACCAGCAGTACGCAGCGCCAATGGGTTACCCGCAGGGGCCACCGCCCGGGCAGGGTCAGGTCGCGGCGGTGGCGCCTCCGCCGGCGAAGACGGGTCGGCTGAACGAGATTAAGAAGCAGAAGAAGCAATCGTACGGCAACATCAAGAGGCTGACGTGAGGCGGCGGTCGCCGTGGCAACTCGCTCTCTCTCCATCTCGCTCGAACCCTGCATTCTCCTCCCTGCGCGCACGTGGCGTTTCTCTTCGCTCGTTTCGGGGTGCGATTCAGATTTTCGTGCTGCAGAGGAAAAGTGTGATTCAGTGTCGTGAACTAAGACTAGGTGTCGTCAGTGAGGAATGCACTCGGACCGTTCCCCTTTTATTTAAAAGGGGAGGCTTTTCTTCGGGGACATTCTGCATTCGTTTCGTAGTGCAATTCTGGTTTCATGATACAGAGGAAATGTGTCTGGATCTTGGTGTCATGAACTAAGCCTGGGGGTCGTCCATCAGTTAAGGATGCACGTGCATCTTTTGATTTCCTCCCCGGATAAATCATTCCACTCATTAATGCGATATGTGGATAAATCAAGTAATCTGCTATAAATTGCAATGCTAGGATCAAGACCAGGCACTCTTGTCGTCAAAAGCCATTATTTTAAGGATGCCGCAAGTGGCAGTGAGGTCAGATGAGTGATGAGCTTTGCCTGAAAATAAACGGTGTGTATTCATTTAATAAGCAAGCTGTAACACAATGTTGTTTATTTCATGCCATCCACAGGTTAGGGTTATACATTGAGTCCAATGTATGTATGTCATATGTAATATACATAAAAGAAACTTGTTGCATGCTTAGAACTCATTGTTTCTTTATCGTTTATTTTACATTTTCATCTTCTGTTCTGTGTGTGAAGCACCTTACCTAAGTGACCCAGAAATGTATCGACAGGTCCAAAACAGTGGTCGTGGTGCACACTTGAGATATCACTGCCGCGCATGCAGGTAGATTGCAAGCGTCATTGCAGGCAGCACGAGTAATTAGACAGAAAACATAAAGAATAATATACATGCATATACTTTATATATAGTATATATTATCATATCAGTATATACATTACGAATGCACATTCATGAAGATCTCCATCACTGGCGTAGCTAAGGGGGGGCACAAGGGGGCCATGCCCCCCCCCCTGTTGATTGGCAAACAAAACAAAACAAAATTTTTTTCCTTGCCTCTCACGCGACGTGTCTTCACATGGACTGCCCACAATTCCGTTACCTTCTCGCATCGCTGAACGAACATCTCTAAAGATGAGCATTGTCAATCTAAACTTTGTTCTACAATGACCCAGCCACGATTCTCGCTCTCATTCTTCTTTTCGTTTAACAATTAGTGATGACATTAATGTCAACGAAATCCTCGAAAATCGACGAGAAGACCTTAACTTTGGATTTCTGAAGATTTTCTGCAGGCAGACAAAACATGACTCAAAAAAAGGAGATAATCTCTTTGCTCAATTGGTTTGTTCACAAGTTGGCTTTGATTGAATTTTATGTTCTGAACTCTTATTGACAGAAAGAAAGAAATGGAAATGGCTTTGAATAACTTTGATATATTCGAACTTATATACGGCCATTCTTGGCATCCACACCGGTTTTTTCATCCAAATCCGTTTCATTCAACACTATTTTAATACACTGTC